TATATTCTTACAGAAACATTCACATTCTGGAAGTACAATGGGATGTGAAAAAGTTAGTGGCATTGCTACTTTTAGTTAGTTACTCCCTAACAACAGATCACTCAAACACTTAATAAATGACCCCTTCAGAGACACTGAATCGACTTTACATTTTATTTGTTAAACAGATCAAGATGTAAAGAATTAGTTCAAGATATTTACAGGATAGACTTTATCTTTTCCTGTAATCACTGGTTTACAGACGCAAATTACTGCTGTGATATAGGCACATATTTCTGTTTGGATTATTCAGCATCAATTAAGCAAGAAAAAAAAAATTCCTGATGAAATACAAAACATCCCTACAAATGGATTTGTACTAATGGGCTTGACACCTCAGGAGAAGGTCACACCAATTACTGTCAAGGTTAAAATGAACATTCACTTTACAGGCACTTAAGCAGACAGAACAGCCAATTTAAGGGCAGCTTATAATTGGGCACGTCAGATGAATTAACTGAGCCGAGAGACAAAGTTCAAGTACAGAGTGGGAGAGAGACCGATAGTCGCTTATCAGAGATGCTAGGGGTCCCAGACTCAGACCACACAGAACTGTAGTTAAACCAGCCCCAATGGCAGCAAATATGACAGTATACATTTATAAAATGCATTTGGAGGGCACGTGATGCTTTAAGAAGTGTTTTGCTTACATAATGCATATCATATACAATTATTTAAAAATGTAAAGATGAAAAAGACACACTTATCTCAGCACTTAAAAGCACTTGAGCTCACCTGCATTTACTTTTCCTGCTTGGTCAACACAACTCCAGCACACAAAACCTGATGCTCTTTATAGTGGACTGGAGGACACAGGACAAGAGAGCCAGGAAGTGTTGTCATGTTTTAAAATACACAGAAATTACCAAATATTTGGACATGTAAGCCACATTTAAAAATGTCATTCCATTATATGACAAATTATCAAACCAAAGTGGACATTTGATACGTTTCAAGACAAACATTTCACAAAAATAAGTTTCATAAGATGTTAGTTCAACATGTCCATAGTTAATGTGATTTAATAGAACACCTGTGTGAACTTGAGAAGAACTGACTTAACACATCTACTAAGACCACAGTGTTTGTTTGAATATGCCACGTCATGAAATTCATAAATTTTAAGTGTGACTTATGTGCCCAGATGTTTATGAGGCCATTATATATAGTGTTATTAATTGTTTGGTGCCGCAGCCCCTCCAACGGCCTGAAGGTAAAGGTAAATTGTCTTAACTACCTGCTTTAATTAACTTTTAAAGACTAGCGTTGATCATTCTTGAGTTGCATTGTCTTAAATGTGATGCTTCGTACTGATTACACTGGAAGATTAATGTTTTTGAAAATGGCTGAGCAATGTACAGTAAAATATACAGCACTGATTAGCCGATGAAGAAATATTATTCATATTCGTGGAGCTGATCTGTCATTGGTTTTGGTGGGTTTCAGCTTCACAGTGGCAAATGGATTTGTGCCTCTGTAAAAAGAGGGAGAAAAAAAAAAGATAATGTTAAACACAAATACCTGCCATATAGATATTATATTAGTGTCTGAGAAAACAAAAAAGCAACACAAGTAGGAGGTTAATGGATATGAAACATGCTTCTACCAACCTTGGAAACAGTTGTGGTCGAGAATCATAGTTATCTTGTCTCTGTAAAAAAAAAAAAGTTATTTAGCACTGATGATTTTTTAGAACTGTTTCAAAACCAGACAAATGTGATGTTTTCTCCTGGAGACTGATACTGAATCTAGAGAACTATACTGACACTAACTGCTTAATTGCTCCTACACTCTTAAAAATAAAGGTTCTTTAGTGGCATTGATGGTTCTATGATTAACCTTTAACATCCATGGAATCTTTCCACTGCACAAAAGGTTTTTTATAGTGGAAAAGGGTTCTTTAGAGCGTTAAACTCATAAATTCTTCGAAAGAATCATATATCATAAATCTCCCAACCCCCCCTTTTTGGTACCTCATTTTGGAGCCTTATTCAGCCCATATAGCTTGTATTTTGTGGCCCCCAGCATTATGGATGTATATTACATTATATACATGTATAAAAGTCACATGAAAATTAGGCAGTGCGATTTAAATTTGGCATCTGATGCTAAATCATTTAAACTAATACGAAAATGTACTATTCTCACAAGAGAACATCAATCAAACCAGCCTGGTATTTCATAACTACTGAAAATCTAAGTGGATTCTACTATGCAAAACATTATGATGTATTACTATGTTGGACAAAATATTAAATTTACAAAAGATTATATTATTTTAGTTTACACAGATTAAAAAAAAAAAAAAGAATTAAGCCAATGTATTATGATATTACAGGTGCTTCTCTTGTTTTAAAATTATCCAGTATTTCAATAAAACAATTATATTAGATAGATCAATATTATATATATATATATATATATATATATATATAGCCACGGCACACCACAACAAATGCAACAGCAAGCAATAGGGTCATATATAATTGTAGCCCTGTTGTGGTATATCAGAGGATCACATCAAAGCATGCACATGCACACACACTCACACACACACACAGACCGTCAGCAGAAAGAGCTGCCCCCTTGCAGCCACCAAAATGCAGGATGAGGTGTGGTGGAGAACAGCACTTCACCACAGTGCCCCTGCTGGCCACAGTAAGAACTAACACTTCAAATCCAATGTCAGCCTGTTCTCATCTCATCTGCACATTTACATTCATACAGTCAGGAATCTCTCCAGGGATTTAAAATATTCTGAGCATCAGCAAATCTTACAAAAAAAAATAAAAAAATCACAAACCACATCAGAATGTAAAACACACTCAAAGGATTACTACCATTACAGTTGCAGCATGTTATTTTTTTTTACTTTGCATGTAATATTAATTTGTTATTTGATGAAATAAACAGAAAGTGATCACTTTTCTTCAGTTATAAAAGTCAGCATGAATCAAACTGGACCCTATTTACTTTCCTAATACATGTTCTTTCTCTGAATGTGAGCTATACACAAAAAATGGTGTGCTGCAATGCAAAGACAAAAATGTTTGCCTTTATAATCTTTCATCAAGACATATTTTTTCCTTTTTGGCTGAAATTGACAATACCTTCAACAACCTGTCATATAGATCACTTTTCACAGTCTTGCAAATGGATAAAGTGGATTTTCCTTTTATTTTATCCATCAGCATTTTTAATAAAAAAAGTTGTAATTTGAATATATATATATATATATATATATATAATTAAAAGTTTAATTAAAAAAATAAATACATTTTTCTTCTCAAATTTCTATTCAGAAATATGTCACATTTCTGAACTAAATGTGTTGTTAAAAGGATAGTTCACCCAAAAATGTAAATTCTACCATTATTTACTCAGCCTCATGTCGTTCCGGCATTGTATGAGTTTCTTTCTTGTGTTGAGCACAAAAAAAGATATTTTGCAAAATGTTGGTAGCCAAACAGCTGACGGTAGCCATTGACTTCCATAGCATGGAAAAAAAAAATACTTTGGAAGTCAATGGCTACTGTCAACTGTTTGGTTACCCAAATTCTTCAATATATCTTCTTTTGTATTCAGCAGAAGAAAGAAACTCATACAGAGTGAGAGTGAGTAAATAATGACAGAATTTTCATTTTTGGGTGAACTATCACTGTAATGCTGCTTATGTTGATTTGAACAGGTCTTACTCTGTTTTCCGAAGGGGTGGGAGTGACCGGCCGGGAATTGCTGGATCTGGTTGACGGAGCTGGAGGCGGTGGCGGAGGTACAGTCGGAGCTGTTTGTTGGCTTCTGCTCACAGGTTGGTTGAGGAGGTTACTCATACTGCTGCTGCGTCTGAAAGAGCTGCTACTGAACAGAGAAAGAGGTCAAAGGTCATGAGACTGATGCGCAGGTGTTGGGAAATGTGCAGTATCGGCTTACCTTGAATCAGGTGGTCCAGGTGGTTCATCCATGGGGCCTACGTAAGCAGCAGGGAACCAGCCTTGCCTGAATAATGCACATTGAATCAACGGGAAACAAAATCAGGTGGTCCATCTGAGTGTTGTATGTGTATTTTAATGCATTACTGAAGAGAACTCTCCATTTCATGAATGGACACTGAAGTTTGAATTTAGGACTTTATGGTTAAAAGCCTAGTCTAAGGCTATTTCTACTACACTAATCCAGATACATTTGAAAATGCATCTTTTTCTCTATGTATTGGCCTTCCATCCACACTGAGACAGCATTTTTGTCTTGTGAAAACTGAGCTTTTAGATGACATTTTCCCATGTGGATAAAATTAAAAAATGCCATGTTCATGTTGCAGCTGTGGGCTGTAAAAACAGAAGCATTTTAAAATAACGCATGTTTAGGCATGTGATGCATATTGTACTGATAGATATCTAAATATTACCAGTATATGCCTGCTAAGAGTTATTCACTTTCATAGTGTTGCTAAAAATAAATGTTACTTTGTTCAATCTTCATATTATATAAGATAACAGAGTATTTACTCACAATTACTGTCCTGTGGCAAAACATGACGGCAATTGTGATCACTTGGTGAGTTATTTTGCTAATAAAATAATAATGCCAGAAGAATAGCATGAGAACTTTATTATGTCTGGTCTCTCAGTATCATCTCAGTGAGCTTTTATTATTATGTTTTACACATGCACAGATGATTTTATAATTTTCTGACATTTCAGTGTTGACGAGAAACTTTTGGAAAAGCTTGAAAAATGCTAATGTATTGTGGACAGATCATTTTGATAACGCTGTATTCATATGTATCCGGATAAAAGTAGACATGGTGTGGATTAAGGTGTGAAACTTCTCTCACCGTCCAGAGCTGTCAGAGCGGCCGAACAGCCAGCCGTTCCTCGCCTCTTTAATGAATAGGGTGATGGTTTCTTCTCGGGAGAATGGGAGGAGGGTGGAGTTTGCAGAGGGAGGGTGGGGCACCAGTGCTCGCATCACTCTGCCTCCGGCCAATCCTGAGACGGAGGTGGAACGACTGGGCTGAGGGGAGGGGCCTGAGATGAAAGGGTAGAAGTTTGTCATATTAAACACAAAAAATAGTGCATAATGTTCACGGATGTTTTTTTCGAATCTCAAAATAAGGTCTCCACACCTCTAGAGGGAACCGTGCCCAGTGGTTGCTCTGCCCAACGGTTAACATCAAGCTGAGAGAATGACACGGAAACATAAGTTTCAACATACACATCTATGAACAGCATCATCATTTAGAGAAGAGAACAGAAGAGAAAATATTTTCCAAAAAATTGGAAAACATGCCATTGATGCATATCTTCATTTATAAGTATATATATA